CCCCCCCCCCCCCCCCCCCCCCCGTTTGTTTCAGCTGTGGTTCAGTTCGCTCTCCATCCAGATGGGGGAGACATCAGCTAGGGTTTACACTGCTTCAGGAAGTAGCTGATTCAACAGTGTTCATGATGTAATTCCTACTCTGTATGACTGGGTTATAGAGGAACAAATTATGTAAAGAAAAGATCATTTATAAACAAGAAAAATGTAATGTGTATTTTTTTTTTTTTTTTTCTGTGCCTTCTAATTAGGAGCAAATCAACAGTTTGGTGAACCAGGTGTGTGGCCGGGCCATGTTGAAGAACGGAGGAGGTGGCGGTGGAGTTGTTGTCACTGCAGTAGCGGGGGACCCTTGCCATGGCCTAAGCCCTGCCAAAGCATCGCCAGCCAAGCGAGGACCCCGAAAGCGCGCCACCGTGGAGGTGTCCCTGGCACGCCTGTCCTCCAGCCACATACCCAAGGCTGCTGCTGCTGTGTCCTGAGGAGGACGCCACGACATTACCATCCGGGGTGTGCTCTCTGCCCATGTCGGGCCCGACCCTCCCAAAACTCCCCTGTTTTGTTTTACATTAAGCAGGATCACTATCAATCCCTCCTCCACCACTCAATATTTAAGATTGATTGTTTTTTAGCTTTGAAAATCCTCTCACCTGACCTAAGTCCTCCCTCCAAAAGATATTCACCTCCTCCCTTAGTATGACAGGCTTGTTTTAAAAAAAAAAAAAAAAGAAAAAGAAACAGGGGGGAAAAAAGAAAAGCAAGATGTCTTTTTTGCACTAGTGTGAAAGAAGAATTTGTTTTTTTTTCTGGCTGATTTTAGAATCCCGCCGTCCCTCTTTAAGTCGTCTTTTACAACATTACAAGCATTAAGCGTAACATTCACAAGAAAGCTTGATGGGCCCTGTTAAGCCTTTTACCTCCATCCTCCTCTAACTGCAGTGGGTTACACTTGTTACCCTCTTCTTGCATCACTCTTTCCTGCCCTCATCTCGCCCCCTGAGACTGAACCCCATTCCTTCTCATCATGCGTCACTCGACTGTGAACGTGGGACAAATGAAAAGGCGGCCTTTTTGTTTTCCTCTCCAGTTTTGTGAAATGAAAATGACATCAAGTAGTTACCCAAAGTTTCTCTCTGTCCCTGGTTTGAGGAAGAGGAGTCTTTTTTTAATTATTTTATTATTTCTTGGGGGGGGGTGGTGACGCGAGGTAAAAACTTGAAAGATTACGATGTTGGTTTTATTGTTGGTTGGCTCTGTTTTTTCAAGTTCTATTTTAAATTTTAGCTTTGTTTTTTTTGCAAGAAGTCTTCTGTGTATTTTCTGTTCTTTGTCATTGTGGATGTTTTCTGTTTGTCGGTGGATGTGAAAGGGGGCAGAGCTACAGCTGCTTGACCTGTGAAAGGTCTCCGCTCACCTCACTTCCTGGTAGTACGGAGGGATCCCTCCTTCGCTAGCAAGTGAAAACTGTGCCTGATCCGTAGCGAGGAGATCTATTTTATTGGTGCTGTTGGTTATAATTACTGTATAACAACACAAAAATTTAAAATCTGGGGGGTCAGCACATGCTATCTACTAACAGCTAGCTCATGCTCCCCCAACCCCACAGGGCAGAGAGGCTTTCAGGCTTTTCTGGTTCTAGATGTGCAATCGTGTTAACATTCCATTCTTCCAGTCCTCTTGTTTCATCTGTAACAGTAAACATTAATTATTATATTATATTATTATTATTTTGTGTTTTTTACTTTTGTTGGTCTGACGTGTTATCTCAAGTAGAGCCACTAGTCAAAGAGTGTAAAATGTGAAATATCAAATCCAAGTTTTGTTTTTTTGTATTTTTTAAATTGTCCTTTTGTTTTTGGGCTTTTGCATTTTTTTTGTTGTCCTTTTCCAGATATATTATGAGTGATTTTAGAGAGAGGAAAAAGTCCAACACAAACAAAACATCAACTTTTTTTGTACATAATCCTGTAAATCTCTTTAAATACCTGAGCCTTGTTCTGGGGTTCAGGAATAAAGAAAGGAAGGAGGGAATAGAGAAGAGAGAAAACGTCCCAGAGGAGAGTGGTTGATGAAGAAAAAGCCTTACATTTCCCTTTCTTCATCCGTGTGAGTTTGACGCTTACAGGGTTGCTCTGGCTAAACGTGTATAAAAATTTTAAGTGCTGCTTATATCACTAAGAAAGAAGATATTGAGTAGCCAACGACTGCCCCCCCCCCCCCCACCTAGTTTTGTTTGTTTAGCTTTACTTTTTTAAAGAAAAGGGAAAAAGATATGTTCACAAAAAAAATGGGTTTTTACATTTTCATTACTGAAAATTCAACAGAAATGTAGTAGCTACTCATGTTGCACTGAGCTTGCCAGTGGTGACTGTCAAGGAAAAAATCCTATAATCCAGTTTGTTGGTTGTCGTCCCTCGCAGAAGACTGAACTGTTTTAGGACTATTTAATAAAATACCAAGTCGGGTGTTTTCAACATAAAAAGTGGTTTGTCAAGTTTTTATGGCCTTACAATATATTTTATTCTGACGGGATTTTTTTTTTGTTTTGTTTTTCAGCTCTCTGTTTTTGTTTGTTTTCTTCCATTTTCTACAGTATAAACTACTTGCTCACAGTGGGGTCTCTGGTGACTTAATTTATTAGTGCCGCATCTCGGCCTTTCCCTCCACTCGGAAAGAGAGTCTCATGTTGGTTATATTGACAGTTTTTTACTTTTGCAGTTTGTACTTAAGGTTTAATAAAAACTTACCGACAATTCACTGTCATTTCTTTCCAACCTGCTTGTGTCTCTTTGTGTGCAAATGGTTTTAACAGCATCGTAATTTAGATTTCAAGTTCTGATCTGATGGGAGCTAACATTAAAAGGCCATTGCACCGAAATTACAAACTATTTTCTCACATACAGTAACTCCAGCAGTATTTAGCCTCGAGACTGAAATGAAAATTGACAGAAAATTAATCGACCGCTATTTGGACTATTCAAAACAAGTCATTTGACTCTAGGAACTTTGGTTTAGACTAATGAACTAATTAATTATGAAAATCATCATTAGTTGTTTAGCCACGCAGATAATCCACAGACCATTGTTCCAATTTTAACGGTTAACAGTGAGGCCTGTGGATTGTCTAGAGCAGTGGTTTTTAAAGTGGCTTTACGGGACCCCCGGGGGGCCTTGAGGGCGTTCCAAAAAGATAACTGAGAAATAAAGAAAGATGATTTTTTTTTTCTCAATCATTCCTCCCTCACGTAACATACTGTCAGAATGTATTCTTGTCATGGGTTTAATACATTTTCCATCCATTAACCTCTGCTTACCCGGGGCCGGGCAGGCTTAGGAGGGTATTCCAGACGGGTCTATCCCCAGCAATGCTTTCCAGCTCCTCCTGGGGGGCCCAGAGGTGTTCCCAGGCCAGACGAGATATGTAATCTCCCCAGCGTGTTCTGGGTCCTCTTACCTGTTGGACGTGCCCGGAAAACCTCTAAAGGAAGGTCGTCCAGAAGACATCCTGATCAGATGCACCAACCACCTCAGCTGGCCCCTTTTGACGCGAAGGAGCAACGGCTTTACTCTGAGCTCCCTCCTGATGTCTGAGCTCCTCGCCCTATCTTTTAGGCTGAGCCAAGCCACCCAACAAAGGAAGCTTGTATCCGCAAACTCATTTCGGTCACTACCCAAAGCTCATGACCACAGGTGAAGGTCGGTACAAAGATGGACAGGTGAATCAAAAGCTTTGCCTTCCAGGTCAGCTCCCTCTTCACCACAACGGTGCGGTACAACGCCCGCAGCACTGCTGACGCCGCACCCAACCACCTGTCCATCCCTCGCTCCATTTTACCTTCACTACTGAACAAGACCCCGAGATACTTGAACTTCCTTGTTTGGGGCAGTGACTCATTCCCAACCCAGATGGTGCAATCCACCGTTTTCCAGCAGAGAACCATGGCCTCAGACTTGGAGGTACTGACTCATCCCAACCGCTTCACACTCTGCTGCACACTGGCCCAGTGTGCTGAAGGTCACGTTCTAAAGGAACCAACTGAACCACATCTGCAAAAAGCAAGGATGCAATTCTGAGGTCCCACAAACCGGACAAAATGAATTTGAATTTTTTGAATAAATTTTTTCGACAACCTATATGTTTTTATGACATTTTTCAACATTCTATACTATGACTTTTTTCAACATACTATAGTATCACTTTTGATCAGCTGTCAGTCAGCTTTAACAGCTGGAAAAAAATGTAAAGGAATTTGTGTCCCCACACACATGTGAACTGTACTTATATTAATAAAGACACAGTAATCATCAGTGTCAGAGTAAAGATGTTTTTATCTTTGTAGCCTGTTGCCTGTTTGACTGTATTGAGTATTTATACTGTATTCTGTGTCCTGCATTTAAGTGCAGGACCGATTTCTAATTGCGGAATGCGTTTCTTATTTATTAATTATCTGCGTCTGTATGTTTTGAAATTAAAACACGAGCTGAAAGGAAGGAAGCATGTAAAAAAAAAGGTCATCGTACAGCATGTCGAAAAAAGTCATCGTACAGCATGTCGAATAAAGTCATCGTACAGCATGTCGAATAAAGTCATAGTACAGCATGTCGAATAAAGTCATAGTATAGCATGTCGAAAAAAGTCATAGTACAGCATGTCGAATAAAGTCATAGTATAGCATGTCGAATAAAGTCATAGTATAGCATGTCGAATAAAGTCATAGTATAGCATGTCGAATAAAGTCATAGTATAGCATGTCGAATAGTCATAGTATAGCATGTCGAATAAAGTCATAGTATAGCATGTCGAAAAAAGTCATAGTATAGCATGTCGAATAAAGTCATAGTATAGCATGTCGAATAAAGTCATAGTATAGCATGTCGATAAAAAGTAAAAAAAGTCAGTCGAAAAAAGTATAGCATATACTATGACTTTTTTTCTTATATTTCAAAATGCTTTATTACGCTTTTTTTCTCTTTTTTGACATGATATAGTGATGATCTTGCCATATGAACCTTTGTTACTTTTGACTTTTTCACATTGACATGCTATACTATGACTGTTTTTAATTTTTTTCGACATGCTACATCACACTTTTATTCGACACGCTATATTATGACTTTACTTCACATTTTTCGACATGCTATACTATGACTTTTCGACATACTGTACTTTGCTTTTTCAATACTTTTTTCAACATTCTATACTATACTATGAAATGATTTTTAACACCTTTTATTCATACTTTAGCTTCATAATACACTGATTTTTTCTACATACCATACTATGACTTTTTTGACACATTCTGATTGAAATATTTTTTACTTATTATACTTTGACTTCTTTATGGCTTTTTTTGATAAACTATATTATAACTTTTTATGACCTTTTTCAACATAATATACTGGTTGGCATTAACTGGGGAAAAAAAGACAGCGTTGGGTTACTCCATCTCCCCCATCCTTTTCACAGCAGCATTGGCGATCATCTTAAATGGTGGAAGACAGATTGTCCGGGTCGTCAGATCCCAGTCAGGTCGGCAAGTCCCGGTGGACATACATGGATAACGTTATCACCCACCTCATAAACAATCATAATATAATATAACCTTAATTATCCATTTCCTCACCACGTCAGCTTTCAGCCCTTTAAGAGCTGAGGCAGGACTACACATCCAGAGTTAAAGCACAGGGACTATTAACATGCTCAAACTCTAAATCCTGCTAATATTTCATTCTTTGTTTTCCTGAAACGCTTCGATGGAAATTAAACAATGCTTGGGGGAGAAACATTTATTAAAGTCAGAAACTGTTGGCAGGGGAAAAGAAAGGAAGGAGTAATGCTATCACATCACACAAATGTAAACAAAAAGAATATGGATACAGTTCAACCTTCTGGGTGTTGTCGAGTGCATATAGCACACAGTCCGAACAGGGATTTGGTCCTCGTTGAAAAGGAGAAGTTCCAATATTATTGGCCAAAGTAATGGCAATGAGTAACTCTCCTCTGTGTGTGTGTGTGTGTGTGTGTGTGTGTGTGTGTGTGTGTGTGTGT